TAAATTGTAGGGAAAGAAATATCGTGACTGACGGGCTTTCCTCGATCCAAGCTGGGATTTCTCCAGAGCCCAGATAATTTATTTCAACTTAGTTCCAATATTTCAACATGCTGAGATTCCATGAAACTCCATGGAGGCTGTTGTTGCATAAATTCAATGCTCAAGCTGCAATAATGATCCCTTGGAATTTGAAATTTCACTTGACAACTTGTTGCAAGCCAGCCTTGTAAATGCAGAACGCTGAAGATATCCACAACATATCATCGCATTCAAAAATGTTCGCAGGCCTAAAGTTACAAGCACAGGCAGACAGGAAGGATTACTTGGAAAGAGCTCAGATTATCTGGGACCAGGCTCAAAACACAATGCACAACGAATTTATCAAATTACTCAAATCCTGGCTTTGTTCCTATAACTGCTCAGCAATTGATCTATCCATCATTACCAAAGTCCATTCTCTCGTTTAATCTCTGAAATTTTTTATCGAGGTTTGCTTCAAGAAATTATTTATTCTCTTTTTAATCAGTGTCATTATTTCAGGCCATAAACCACAGAACTTTGCCAGTTCATGTGTCCATCCCAATAAAAGACTACCATGCATTTATTAGATATAGCTACCAGAACATAAAATGTAATGCGGCAATGTTTAGAAAAGAATTTATAGAACATGACGGAGAAGATCATCTCAAAATGTTGAGGTTCATTCAGCACAAATCACTTGAGCATCCTTCCACTTTCATTAAAAGACCAGCAACAGCATTAAATTAATCTACCAACTACAGGCACAGCTGTTGCATAACACATCAAAATATGTTCAACCTTGAAGCAGAAAGAAAAATTTTGATGCTTCCAGTAAAGACAGATGATTCGAAGAAAGGTGATTTACCAAACTATGAATACAGCAACAAGCTACAAAAACAATGACGAAGACTTCTCCACAAGCAAAAGAACCACGATTCTGGGGTAGCAGAGAATCCTGGTACCAGAAACACAGTATAAATTAACAAATTACAAGTCTGCAATTTTATTTTATTTTTCCAAATAATTATGAGCAATTTGAACCAAAGCCAATTCTGGATAACCAAAAAGAAGAATAACATTTTACCTTGTAAGCATAATGTGTAAAGACTGTCTCTCAAACCTAACTGCAAGAGTTTGGGTGTAGCCTTTTTTGTTTTGCTTTATGCGCTCTCAGTATCAAGCAGAGGAATTCCAATGATTCATCCAAAAACTGGAAATAGCCATGTCTCCAAGAATGCTTGAGCAGTAATGCACCCGAAAATCCCAAAAAAGATACAAAAAAACCATTTTCCATGCCAATATAAAACCACATACTGAACTCATGCACAGTTTTTTGATTGTCTTGGATTACATCATTCATCACTGGACTTTGAGGCACATCAACATCTCCAAGGCATTTCTGGGTGACTGGTAGACCACACAGTGCAGGATTGCCTGTAAAAGCTGATGCATCAAAGCTTTGAAGCTGAGTGCTCAATGGAATTTTCCCAGACAAATTATTGTAGGAGACATTCAAGCAACTTAAAAAATTTAGAACAGCCATTGTGAGTGGAATTGCACCATAGAAATGATTTCTTGACAAATCGAGAGATTCTAACAATTTCAACTGGCCAATCTTTTGAGGGATTACTCCAGTTAAATTATTTCCTGACAAGTTCAGTGCAACCAACTCAAGCAGGCCAGTTATTTCCTCTGGAATTTCTCCAGATAAATTGTTGCCTGAAAAATCAATGACACGCAACAGTCCAAGATTTCTCTCATATTCATAATCCCTTCCTTTCCATCCAACCCATGCCTTATTGATATAGTAGCCTCCAGAAAAAACTGCTCCACGTCTCTTTGTCAAGTAAAGATTGTCAATGACAGTTTCTGCTTCCCCTCTTAGAACCATAGCAGTTAGATTGTCGAGACACTCCGGTATGGCTCCAGTGATATTGTTTAGGGAGAGGTCCAAGATCCTAATATTTCTTAGCTGACAAATATGTGGCGGGATGCTTCCAAGGAATTCATTAGATTGAAGGGAAAGGAACATCAAGGATGAGAGGCTTTCTCCTATCCAAGCTGGTATTTCTCCAGATAATCGATTTTCACCAAGGTCCAAAAATTTCAACATGCTACAGTTTTTTAAAGACACTGGCAATTCTCCGTAGAGTTTATTGTTGTGTAAACTCAATGTTTGAAGGAGAAACAATGATCCGACAGAGCTTGGAATTTTGCCTGACAAGTTGTTGTTAGCCAGATTCAGAACAACCAGTCTCTTCCAATTCATGAAACAATTTGGAAGTTGTCCAGACAACAGATTGTTTGACAGATCAAGGAAGCTCAATATCTCACCAGCAATATTGCATATATGAGAAATTGGACCTGAAAATAAATTGTTAGAAAGAATCAATGAGGATGTCGTAGAAGGAAAAGCTGGCAGTAGACCCTCAAACTGATTAAAACTCAAGTCAAACCCAGGGAATGTACCATCAACCACATCAACTGACAATAAATCTGGCAGCGTTCCACTCATCAAGTTGTGAGATAGATTTAAGAAAGCCAAGGTAGGCAACAGGTTCCAAAACCAATTAGGGATTTTATCTGAAATATTAGCACTGGAGATATCAAGCAAATGGACATTTCTCTGAGTTCGAAGCCATTGTGGGAAAAAAGGCCCCATGTTGCATGAACTAAGACGAATGGTGTTCAATTGAAAAGTGGGGTCCCAATCAGATTTGAATCTCAAAACTAAGGAATTATAAGACAAATCCAAGTTCTGTAAGTTGGAGAGGTTAGAAAAATGTTCTCCAGACACCAAACCTTGAAAAGAATTAAAAGAAACATCAAAATGCTCAAGCTTGGAAAGGAATCCAATACTTTCAGGTATAAGCCCATTGAGTCGATTACATGAGATATCCAATTCTCTCAAGGAAGAAAATCTAGCAATATCAGGCAATGAACCATCAAGTTGATTCTGACATAATCTCAAAATCTCCAGGGATCTCTCTGTGCGTCCGTATAAGTTCTGCACGAGATCCGAAAGGTCCTCACTGATATGGTTGTGGCACAAATCTAGCACATGCAAGCTGCACGTCTCCCCAAGAGATCTTGGAATGCCACCTTCAAGCTGATTACCAGAAAGAACAAGATTTGTGAGAGCACTCATGTTTCTGAATGCATCTGGAATCGAACCTTTTAACTGGTTACCAGAAAGGTCAAGGTCAACCAGGCTTTTACTAAAGTTGTACAGCCAGGGGTATATAGCAGAAGAAAGATTGTTATTAGAGAGATGAAGAACAGCAAGAAATTTAGAAGAGTTGACAAAAGAAAGAGGTGAAGGAATTATATCTGGAAGACCACACTGATTCAATCGCAGTTCTTTTAGGCGCGGGAGGTTTGTAATCACTTGCAGCCAGTCATTTACCTTACTGAGGTTGGAACCACTTAAATCAAGACGCTCCAGAGAAGAAAGATGAGAAAGCCAGTCAAGATTTTCTACACTGGCATCAAAACTATAGCTGAGATCAAGAGACTGCAATCTTGAGAGGTTCCCAAGCTGATAGGGAATAATTACAGTGAAAAAGTTGTAGGAGAGGTTCAAGTATCTCAGGCTGGTTAAGGAGCCAATAAAATCGATCATACTCTCATCAAAATTATTCAAACTCAGGTCCAAGTAATTCAAATACTGTAACTCGAGTAATGAATCGCTAACCTTACCTCCTAGAGGCGTAAAAAGATTTTCGTACACAGGTGAGGAATGGAGATCAAGCAAAGTAACATGACCAGTTATGTTGTCACAGCCAACTCCTCTCCATTTGCAGCAATCTCTTTTCTCTTCTTCGCCCCCCCAAGAAGAAAGAACACCATAATCATCAATAAGGTCTTTTTTGAACTGAAGAAGTGCTCGTCTCTCCCGCTCTATGCACCTAAACTTTGCACCTCTTACCCCTGTAATTAATTCAGGAAGAGGGTTTATGTGCAACAATACAAGCACAATAAGTGGAACATAATTTTTGTGCATTATTATCACTATGATCAAAATGAAAAAAGAAGCTTGAAAGCTTTGTTGGGTTCTTTTAATTCTGGCTTCTCGGAAATCAGGACCTTTAAAAAAAAAAACCAAGTTGACTTCGAAGGTTGACTCATCGAGTCTTGAGTGAGGTAGAAGTTGGATTTTGCCACACCCCACCATAAAAAACTTCCAACACAAGGCCATTTATTGTTTAGTAACTCTAACGAAACCAAATTTTAATTCTAATCCATTAATCTACAAATTATAAGACAATCAACTCCTCTCTTGATCATCTTCATAGCCAGCACAGCCTAGGAGCCCACCACCTCTATTAGTGCATCAATACATGATTTTTTATATGGAAGGAGATCCCAACTAAAGAAAACAAACAAAGCTATGAACTTTCAGAGAAATCATTGTGGAAAAAAAAACAAACAACTTGTGCGCAATTGCAAGAATTTGAACTATCTAGGAGATAGCGTGTAACAGACACATTCTCTCAAACAAGTAGCAGTATCAAAACCCAAACCCAGTAACAAGCTTCGAAACCCAAAATCCAGAAAAAAGCTTCAAAACCCAAGCCAATTCAGCATAACAACAAGACAATCATAGCAACGATCACCTAAAAGATGCTAACCGAGGAACCAATAGGAGAGGAATATAAAAAGGTTTCGTGTCATCGGAGATCTGCTTACCGGTCCACTTGTCGTCGGATATATGCTTGTTCGACCGCCGAAGCTGGTGACAGTGGCATTGCTGCTGCTGTTAAATTCGAGGAAATGGGACATCGGACAGAGAAATTCGTTTTTTATTTATTTATTTATTTACCTGGGTGCAATAACTCCGATCTTGTAAAAACCAAAGGCAAGAAAAAACCTTGTTTTATTTCACTTCGTGCCCGTTCTGGAAGTAATTCCAGATTTTCAATCAGCATGAAAAGTTTGATATCGGTTAATTTTGACGTTTTGTTTTGAATTCCGTATTATAATATTATTTTTTATATATTTGAAGATATATATTTAACATTAGGTATTTCAATGTATCGATTTGGAACAGGATTTCGCTCTACTTTTGTCTTGGAACATCTAAATTCATCCTTCACTTTTGCCTCTAACCTGGTCAGATCGGATCTGATGAAGAACTTTTTTCACCCGGCATGTTCCCTATCTGACCCACTTTTAATTTGAGTAGATCAAGTTTTAAAAATAAAATCTAACTTAACAAAAAACAAAAACTATACTTTCATCCATAAATTCAAGAATTTAAATTAAATTCTTGAATTATTGTCTGTGCAACATAAAAAAAATCCAGAATATTCATGCCAGGCCTGAACAACGTGCCCTTCAAGCCGTTCGGGCCTGGACCGAATAGCACGCCCTCCTGACCTTTCAGACGAAGCTTGAACGGCTTGACATGCAAGAAGTTCAAACTAGACCCGAACGGACAGCTCCATTCAGACCATTCAGGCCAACACCCCGCAAATTCTTAGGCAGACACCCCAAGGCAAAGCGATGAGTCTCATGGAAGTCAGTATTGTGTCGCATTCTCCTTGGTAACCCGCTCTTCTTAGCCAACGGCTATTTTTTTATCACACAAGGCCAAGAGCTACGTTGCTCTTCCCCTCCTCCACAAATTATTTTCCTAGCCATTCGCATCTCCTCCTCATCAACACATTCTAGTCACCACCACCTCCTAGCCTCCTCCTAGTCACTACCTAATTCACATATCCCAGATGTCACTAGTTGAATGCCCGTGCTATGGGTTTATTTTTTATTTTTATAAAAAATATTATAAAAATTTATAATACAAAAAATTATATTTTTAATATTAATAATATTTTTAAAAAATTATTAATTATTTTATAATAATAAAATGATAATATTTTTTATATGAACACTTTAAATTATAAATAAAAATAATAATAATTTTAATATTAACACTTTAAATTATAAAAGAAATAATAATATTTATAACACACATTAATATATTAACAAAATCGAAGTGCGGTTAGGTGTGGACGTGTCTAGACCCAGCATGAAGTTGGACGCAGTCACGTCCAAGTCCAACATGATATTACCATTAAAAAAAACCATATAATTGATTAGAAGGATAAAATTAAAAATTATTATTATTTGTACCATAAATATTATCATTTTTATTATAATTAAAAATATTAATATTAAAAATACTATTATTTGTGCCATATATATTACTATTTCTATTATAGTTAAAAACACTAATGTCAAAAATACTATTATTTATGGTATAAATATTTTAATTTTTATTATAATTTAGAGCATCAATACACATCTAGGTCTTGCCACATGACGCATGGGTTTGGTTGTGGTGCAAGTTTCCTCATGTGGAGGGTGCGAGCCTAGTTGACGCTCAGGGCAGCTCCATCAAAACTCGAAGTGATTATTTTTTTCTTAATTATTTATTCAATGCCGAATGTATCATAGTGAAAAAGACATCCCCACCCCTCTCATATTGCCTTTATAATTTTTTGTGACAAGGACTAGACTGCCATTACACTGTTTTTATCCAAAATATTTTGAGTCCAAGTAGACATTAAAAAGGACACTAAGTCTTTTTAGTATAGTGGGGTGTGTGCCTAGTTGATGCTTAAAGCAAACTCGAAATGACCATTTTCTTCTTGATCATCAATTCAATACCAAAATATATCCCAATAAAAACATAATTAAACTCTTCTTTTACTGTTATTGCAGCTCTTTATAGCAAGAATTGACTTCTTTGTGACAAGGACTGACTCGCCATTATACTAATCTGTTTTGAGCCCAGATAAATAGTAAAAAAGACACTAAACCTTTCTAATATATTGTTAATTCTCATTTCTTGTTAATACTACAACTTCCATTTAACACCTTCATATTATATTATTTATATTTATATATTATTATTTTAATATGATAATATTAAAAAGTAATTTAAAAAAAATAAAAATATTTTTAACAACAACCATGATCCTATCCACCATTATTTTCATTTATTGCTTTATATTTGACAAATAAAATTAAATTTTAATAGTGTGGTACCGATTGCTTTTTAAATAATTTTTCATGCTGAAATGCATGATAATGATATTTTTTTATTTTTTAAAAATTATTTTAACATCATCACGTTAAAAAATCTAAAATATATAAATTATATTAAATTTTAATAAAAAAAATAAATATTAAAAAAAAAAACAGATTAAATCGCGTTCCCCAACTGCCTCTGAAATTAAGATTGCATGTGTGGTTCTGCGTCCACGTGGTACGTGTATCATTGATTGCTCCTACTGCGGTACTTTATTTAAACGGTTATAAAAATGACACGTCAAAATACATCAATTAAGAAATTGAAAAGACCTTTCTTGACTGTTTTTCCTCTCCCTCTATCGCCTTGAGCATCTAAACTTTCGGTCTCGGTCTCATAATATAAATATATAAATAATTACGATGGATGGATTGTAAATTAATTAATATCAATATGTTGTTTATTTAAAAAAAATAAAGTTGAAACAGCTTATTTGTAACTACAAAGGGAAAAAAAACATGATAAGTAATCTTAGAGGTTTTTTGTTTTTGTTGTTAAAACTATATTTTAAAAATGTTGTAAAAATTATTTGTTTGAAATTATTTTTTTAATACTTTTGAATTGTTTTATATGTTAAAATTCAAAATATTTTTTAAAAAATAAAAAATATTATTTTCATATATTTATTCTTAAAAATATTTTAAAAAACAATTATTATAATACAATAGATACCACCTTAAGCTTCCACGTCACAGCACAATTTACCATTGAGAAACTCCCAGTGTCATTTTCAGAGAATGACAAACAGGACTGCCCAATCACATAAGCAACCTATGCTAAAAATTAAAAAAAAATATATTAAGAAAAGTTTATTACATAAGAGAGAATAACTTTTAGGTAAACGAAAATAATATAATATCCACCCAGGAACAATGTAGAAGGTACTTGATGTGTGATGCTAACGGTGGGTTAGGTTGCGTTAATTTTTGCATTTAAAAAAATATTTTTAGAAATTTTATCTTAATTTTCTTTTAATATATTAATATTAATAAAATATTTTAAAAAACAAAAAATATTTTAATATATTTTTAAATAAAAAATTCATCAAAAAACAATTATTGTCACAGTTGCATTGTTTGATACAAAAGCAAAGCAAGACATCACCTCTTCTGACATGTTCACATCATCTTCCCATGCCATGATTCAGGTCCCCTGCAGCTTCTAGCTGTCGACAAAAGCATTTCTGCACCTCCTTCAATCTTCACACCTGAAATTCTTGAGACTGGATAGTCTCGGTAGAGATGAGTGATCCCAAGTATGCTTATCCATACCCTGCTCAAGGTAATCATCTATCTTTCTCATCTTTTATATTAATCTCTTCTGTTAGCTGCTGCTGCTGCTTTCTCTTCTGACATTCCTTTCAAAGATGCAGGCTTCGTTTTTCTACTTAATTATGATATGGGGTTTTCCTCTTTTTCTTCAGTCTATGTGTACAAAAGATTCTCTTTAGGATCGCTCGAGAATCGACTTATGTCTTGAAGGATTTTTTAATTTTTTTTATCCTTGGGTTTTCGTTTTATCAGATCTTATGATATCATCGTTTTTCTTTTGCTCTTGATATTGCACATCTTATGCTATTCTAGTTCCTTTTCAAGATTAACTATGTTTATCTTGAGATCATTTTATGGTTGTTTCCTCCTTTACTTTTCCGTGTGTTGGCTGGCAGGTTATTATCAGGGACCTCCAGTGGTGCCACCTCCACAGTATTATGCTGCTCCACCACCTCGGAGAGAACCTGGTTTCCTCGAGGGATGGTAATTCTTTTGGAACTTGTTAAAATATTACTGACTGAATTATATGGATTAGAATACCCAAAAAAGAAAGAAAACCCTTGTTTTACTTGTCTTGCTCTTGGTTCTTGGTCTATGAAAGTGGTATAACATAAATATTTCTTGAATTTCTGGTTACAGCCTTGCAGCTTTGTGTTGCTGCTGCCTTATTGACGAGTGTTGCTGCGACCCCTCCATCCTCTTTATTAGCTAACAGAGCCATATATTATGCTTCTTGCACGAATAATTATCGTTTGTTGTGTGTTATAATAATAGAGTGAATGAACCCTGTTATTATTACCCTGGAACATTTTACTATATATATAATATGGTTTCCTCTTGATCCTTCTTCGTCTAGTAGTGCACAGTGGATTCAACAATTTTATTTCTAATTAGATGGTGAATAAAGGATGATGACATGCTTTTCTCTTATGAATTATTGTTTCCGGCCAGCTTTCGCGCATCACGACTAATCCTCACGGTCCACTAAATACCCTACAAATCTAGTAGGCATGAATTATTTTATTCTTATCTTCAAACTAGTTGACTCTAATGTTAGACATGGGAGTAATTCTTATTATGTTAATATTCAATTAAAAAAATAACGTTTAAGTTGTTATTCAATATAAATATAATATGAGTATGTTTAAATTATTAAAAGTTTGATATATTTAATCAAATTTGATCTGATATAATATACTTAATTAACTTCACTCGACCTCGACCTAATATAATATGTATTATGCTTAAACTGGGTAAATATATATATAATTTTAATCATGAGCATTGAACATAATATCGCTAATTTGATTAATAAAATATTTAAGAGTAATTAATAAAATATTTAAGAACTTCGATAATTTGATTAATAAAATATATTTTGATTATAAAAAAATATAATATACTTAATTAATTTTACTCGACTTGACATAATATGTATTATGCGTAAAATAGGTAGATATATATATGATTTCAATCATGAGCATTGAACATTGATAATCTAATTAATAAAATATTTAAAAAGATACCATGAACTACAATGGATTTATTTAGATTCAGTGATGTTAATAGAATTTCAAAATTAGATGAGATCAAATCAACTTGTGGTTATATTTTTATTATTGGTGGCGTGCAAGATCTTGAAAATCATGAATGAAATGATTTCATTGGCCAGAGTCCAGAGAGTGGCTTCAAATATAGTGAAATTCTAGCCACTGTCATTGCATTGCGTTCCTTCGAAGAAATGGCAGTGCAGTTATCTCAACGAATCCTCACCAGCATCTTTGATGTGCTTCCAGTTTATCCTCGTTGAAGAAACTAAGTAGCATGATCTAGAGATGTATCCATCTCTACCAGCCTTTTCACACAGAAATTCCCTCAGCAAATGTAGATAGAAGACATTTTCACTATCTTGAAGATGTGGAGCGCATCGACACACGCGTCTGTTTTTGGCTTCACCGGACAAAATAATAATATTCATATTTTATAATTTTGTTTATTAAAATAATATTATTTATTTTAAAATATAAATCTTATTTTTATTTTATTAATTTAAACCGAGTTTAATTGAGGTAATTAAATCACTCATCAACCAATTGCATCAATCAAATTTTATCAAATTAATACTTTTCTATTCAAGTTAGGAATATTTTCACCTATTGATTTGTTGTTCGCAAAATCAATATCCTAAGAAGTCCAATAATCCTTTCACGCTCATATTCCCTTCGTTTCCATTCAACCAATGCATTGCTAATATAGATGTCTTTATAATATAAATACCGCATGGGTCAATGATATTTTTGTTTTTTAATTTATGTTTGGTGTTGCGGTGTTGATTATTTTTTATTTTTATTTTGAAATATATAAAATAATAATTTAATATTTTTAATATTAATATATTATTACAATCTAAAAAAATAAAAGACTAACAGACGAAAAATCTCTTCCAACTAGATATTAGACCCGCATGATATTGTGAGCTTATACATTATCATAGTTTGTTAAAAAAATTATATAAAAAAAACTATTTTAATTTATAATATTTTTTAGAAAAAACTACAAAACTAAATTATATACTAATTTAATATTAAATAAAATTGACAAAGATAATTTTAAAAAATAAAACAAAAGGAAAAAAACCAAGTAGGAAAATACTATATTCTAAAGTTGTAATTCTTAACCAATAAAATCGACAAAAACAATTCTGAAACAATAAAAAAAAATAAAAACAATTCAATTTTGGAAAAAAATAAACAATAAAAAACTATAAGAAAAAAATTAAAACTCAATTCTCCGTCAGCTCAATATTAAAAAAATAAATTTAATAAAAATAATTTAAAAAAACACTCGGCAAGATACTGCAGCAAAACAAAAATTATATGGGAGAAATATTATAGCAACTCATAATGTTATTTTTTAAAAAATAATAAAGTTAAATTCTTAACCAATTCGACATGAAAATAAAAAATCAACAAAGATCAGTTTGAAAAAAATAAATTATAAAAAAATTATGTAGGGAAATATTATAGTAATTCACATTGTTTTTTTAAATTACATAACTAAATTTTTAATGAGTTTAATATTTTAAAAAATAGCAAATCTAATTTAAAAAATTAAAAAAAAAAGAAACCAATATTATATAAAAAACAAAAAAAATAAAAACAATACAATGTTTTCGTCACATTTTTCAGAGTTATTTATAATTTAAACGTGCGGGCCAAAAACATTTTTGTCATGTGGGGCCTGTGTTGCTTAATTTTCAGGCGGCTTTTTTGTTAAAGAAAGTCTTTGCCTTTTGGATAAATAAACTTTGCATTGAAAAAATTAACATCTAGATTAAATTAATACTTGAAAAAGGTATGTGAACACCCCAAATTTATTGAATACACCTATTTATTGGGTGATGTAGTTTTCCGAATGTATCAACCTAATTTAATCATTTTACTTTTTATTGTCAATATTACAGGAAAACAGTTTATAAATAAATAGATTTTTGGTGGTTCTCCTTAAGTTTAATGTATTTTAAGGTAAATAAAGTGATATAATAAGCAAAAAAATCAATATGGGATAATATTAAAAAAATACAAAACCAATCAATCCTTCATGATTAGCATTTAAAATATTGCACAAGAGAGCCACGAAGAATACAGTGTATGATGCAAATCCATTTTATATTTTATTTTTCGAAAGATTTTTATGAAAAAATAATGTTCGCAATAATAATTATTTTCAGGGAGTCGTTTCCTTGGGGATGCCTTTTCAAGAATCTCATTCTGTCAGTTTGATGTGAGATCCCATGAGATAAGAATAACACGGCGGTAAAGAACCTTTATCTATCTTTATCAAGGATACAGTAGCAGTTGTTTCTTAAATATTTTTTACTTAAAATAAAATTAAAATAATTTTTTTTATATTTTTTAAAATTTATTTTAATATTATTATATCAAAACAATTTAAAATTAATAAAAAAATTAAATTTAAATTTTGATAAAAACCAGGTTTAAACTCACACTCAAACAATTCTTTAAACTATTTAAATTTAGATTAAATTTTTTAACTAAAATGGATTTTAAAAAAATGAACTGGATGCCAAATTAATTAGTGGGTTATTTTAAACTAAGTTTTTAATTTACAATAAGGTTTTTAAGTTTGATTCAGTTTATCTTGATTTTTTTAGTTTTGAAAATATAAAACTTAACTATATTTTTTAAAATTTAAAATAACCAAAATTATTTAAAAAATTCAAAAAACTATTTTGTTTGATATATTTTTAGATCAATTATTATAAGTATTTCAAATAATTTGCTCATTTAAAAAAAATCATATCTATAAAATTAAGTTAAGATTGTTTAGAAATATAGTTATAATTATTTTTTAAAATATTTTTTATTTAAAAATATATCAAAATAATATATTTTTTATTTTTTTAAAATTATTTTTGAAATCAGTGATTTAAAATAATAATAAAATATTAATTTAAAGTAAAAAATAAAAAAATTTAAAATTTTTTAAAAATATTTTTAAAATATAAAAACAAAAAAATATAAGTATTGATTAGAATTTGATATAAGTCGCAAAATCTTGGACTGTCAATCTCTATCTCCGGTAACAAGAAGACAAGATTATGAGTCCCATGATTCTCTAATTAATCAAAATTAAGCCGCTAATCCAAAATTTAAAAGGCGCTTAAAACTCAATTTCACCAACACCTGTACGGCGTCGCTTCTCCTCTCCCTGGTCTATAACCACGCCAAGTCATAAATAATTCCACGACTCGCCAACTCAGTCTCCACTTTGCTCTGGAGTGGTGAACTAAAAAGTAAAGAAAAGAAAGGCAGACCCACGAGAACTCGGTGACTCAATTACTCTCCACTTTTTCCTTCCTTTTTCAGGATCTGAATTCTAGGGTTTCTTAAGTTAGGAATCGGACTCAGGAGATGACGAGTCCGATCACGCCAAGCAATGGCAGTGGTAGGGCTTTATCGTTAACGTCAAGTGCTATAGTCTCGAAGACTCCTTTAACTGACGAGAAGATCTGGAAACGACTTAAAGAGGCTGGATTTGATGAAGAATCCGTTAAAAGAAGAGATAAGGCTGCTCTTATTGCCTATATTGCAAATCTTGAAGCCGAGGTTTGCTTTCTTTTTTTTCATCTTTTTATTTAATTTATTGTTGCTTTTATTTTCTTTTTTCTTACGAAGAAGGAAGGAAATTGGAGAAAACCCTAATTTGTAAATTGACTGTATTTTTTTTTTGTTATGGTAGTTTAGGGAAGAGTTAAATTAATAGTGATTAAACTCAGGTAACTGTGGTATTACTCTTAATTACTTCATTTTTTGGGCTAGGATGAATGATTTTCCTTTTAAATTTTTGGGTTTGGATAATTAGTAATTAATCTGTGATTCAAGAATAATGGAAGTAGAAAGTTGGTGTCATTATTTTTGAGAAGGAATCAATTTTCTGTGTTTGAGCGTGCTTGTAATAATTATTGCTTTAATGGTGGATTAAATGTTACAACTGTAGTTAATTTTGTTACATGAGTGGGTGGAGTTTTTTTGACTGGTGTAATTTCATGTAGATGTTTGACCTTCAATACCATATGGGGCTTCTCATATTGGAAAAAAAAGAGTGGACTTCGAAATATGATCAAATGAAATCGTCTGCCGAAACAGCTGATTTAATGCGTAGGCGTGATCAAGCTTCACATTTATCTGCCTTAGCTGAGGCGAGGAAACGAGAAGAAAGTTTGAAGAAGGCTTTAGGAGTTGAGAAAGAGTGTATATCAAGTGTAAGATTTTTTGGGGGCTTCTTTCTTTCCCTTTTTCCAATTTGTGCCAATCGTTGTTATAGAATTCTTAAGGTTTTCTGATGGATTTTTTGTAGATGGAGAAAGCATTGCATGAGATGCGGGCAGAATCTGCTGAAACCAAGGTTGCAGCTGACTCTAAGTTGTCTGAGGCCCGCGATATGGTACAAGATGCCCAGAAAAAGTTTTTAGATGCTGAGGCAAAACTGCATGCTGCTGAAGCTTTGCAAGCAGAAGCTAGCAGGTATCATCGAGCTGCAGAAAGAAAGCTCCAGGAAGTTGAGGCACGTGAAGCTGATCTTAGCAGGCGTATGACGGCTTTCAAAACCGAGTAAATATTCCAACCATCATCTTACTCTCTCCGTTTTATTTGCCCAGTGAACTGACACTATAGCATTTAGCTTAATCGTAGATTTTCAATGTGATGATTTGTAATGTCATTTAGTTCCATGGTTTGATTTAACAACCTGTTTGAAAACTTTGGTATCAAACGTCTGCATATTTCATTAGAATGCAAAGGCTTTACTGGTCTTTAATTCTTTTGTAAACAATGAATGCAGCCACCAATGTCTACGAGTCTTTATTTTTGGTGTTTGGGGACAGTGATGCATGGCTCATTGTTTGGGGTCATTTCTTCAATTATCTGCAATTGTTTTCTTACCTGGTCATGCTATTTTATTAAGAAACACTAGTTAACCATGCCAGCTATTTTATTCCTTGTGGAGTTGGGCTGTGTAATTCGTTTATTGGGTTGTGATCATAAGTTGAGTTTCATCACTTATCAAGATGCAGGATATAGATAGAAATTGGAAATGCAAAAGTTGGCAGGTTGTTTGAGTGGTGAACATAATTCTTCCAATAAATTGGGTTTGGCAGAAAGTTGTGGTAGAGATTAAAAAGAAAAAAGAAAAAAAGGGATCAGATTGCAAAATATTTGAGAGGCTATTCATTTTGGGTGAAACATGGGAAAATGATTTATTGCTAATAATTGATTTCAAATGAACTCTGCTTGATTCAAATGCAAAATTCAATTTTGATCTTTGATTGGTTCAAATTAGTTGTAGAACTAAATTGAATCTTATCTCAGAATTGGTTCCAAACAGGCTGTAAAGGAATGGTAGATGATTAGTTTGCCTGACATAAACTAATAGGCAAAAAAAGGCCTTGTTTGATGATAATGCAGAAACACAAACATAAACAGACATATTTTTTTAGTTTTTAAGCAACTCAACTGTGCACACATCATTGCATATTTGTTGTAACATTTGACCAACAGTTGTTTTGTTCTCTAGAAATTTGGTTGTGAGTTTCTTAACGTGTTTTCCCCCCCTTTTCGTAGTTGTGATGCAAAAGAGAAGGAGATCGGTCTTGAGAGACAATCTTTGAGTGAAAGACGGAAGGTTTTGCAGCAGGAACAGGAAAGTTTACTTGATGGACAAGCTTTGCTGAACCAGAGGGAGGATTATGTTGCCAATAAATCTCAAGAGCTAAATCAACTTGAAAAAGTTCTGGAAGTCTCAAAAGAAAATATTGAGAAGGAACTTAGAGCCCTAAATGATGAGAAATCCAAGCTGGAGCTGACCATTGCTTCCTTGTCTCAAAGAGAGGAGGTCAGTGTTTTCTCAAATTTATTGTCGACGTGTCAGATTGCTATACTTATATACCTCTACCTTTTCTTTTGAGTGCATGTAGGCTGTTATTGAGAGAGAAGCTCAACTAAGCAAGAGAGAACAAGAGCTACTTGTTTTCCAGGAAAAGCTTGCCAGCAAGGAATTGGTGAGTTTTTTCTTTTGCTAAAGTTGGGATTCATTTCCATTTTGAGTACTTTAAACATTTTTCTCTTATCAGATTATTATTTTGAAATTTGTTGTTCAAAATGCAGGTTGAAATTCAAAAAGTTACTGCCAGTCATGAGAATGTTTTGAGAACAAGGAATTCAGAATTCGAAGCAGAGCTGGACAAGAAACGCAAATTGGTGGAAGATGAAATTGAAGCCAAGAGACGGGCTTGGGAACTGAGAGAGGTTGATCTTAAACAGAGGGAGGACCTAGTGCTAGAAAAGGAACATGACTTGGAGGTTCAATCAAGAGCCTTGGTAGATAAGGAAAAGGATGTGACAGACAGGATCAACTTTCTTGATGATAAAGAAAGAAGTTTGAATGTTGTTGAGAAGGATATTGAATTGACAAGAGCTCTTCTGCTGCAAGAAAGAGAAGAGATTAACAAAACAAAGCTAGATCTTCAGAAGTCGTTGGACTCTTTGGAAGACAAAAGGAAACAAGTTGACTGTGCAAAGGAGAAACTACAGACCATGACAAGTGAAACAAATGAATATGCAGCTTTAGAGATGAAACTGAAAGAAGAAGTTGACACTCTTAGGGCACAGAAACTAGAACTTGTGGCTGAGGAAGACAGACTGAAAAATGAGAAGGGCAAATTTGAAACTGAGTGGGAGTTGATTGATGAAAAAAGAGAAGAGCTAAGGAAGGAAGCCGAACGTGTAGCTGAAGAGAGAGAAGCTGTTTCCAGGTTACTCAAAGAAGAGCGTGATAGCCTTAGACTAGAGAAGAAAGAAATACGAGATCAACACAAGAAAGATGTTGAGTCTCTTAATCATGAGCGTGAAGATTTCATGAATAAAATGGAACAGGAGCGCTCTGAATGGTTCAACAGGATTCAGAAGGAACATTCAGACTTCTTGTTGGGCATTGAGATGCAGAAGAGGGAACTGGAGAGCAGTATTGATAAAAGGCGTGAAGAGATAGAAAGCTATTTAAGGGATAAAGAGAAAGCTTTTGAGCTAGAAAAGAGAAGTGAGCTTCAACACATTGCTTCTCTTAGAGAAAAAGCAGAAAAAGAGTTGGAACAAGTTACTTTAGAAATGAAGAAACTTGATGCTGAGAGAATGGAGATAAATTTAGACCGTGAGCGAAGGGATGGGGAATGGGCAATGCTGAATAAATCCATTGAGGATCTCAAGGGTCAGACACAAAAATTAGAGAAACAAAGGCAACTGTTACGTGGAGAGAGAGAAGAGATTTATGTTCAGATTGAGCAACTAAAAAAATTGGATAATTTGAAACTTGCCTTGGATGATATGGAAATGGAAGAGATGCAACTATCCAATATGGAGTCTAGCCGCCAGAAAATATCTACAATAAGACGTTTGAAGCAACAAAGTACTGTACAAGATACTGATTTGGCTTCTTATGGAAAATTAGATGCTGCCAGCAATGTAGGTGGACTCAACTCCCCTACACCAAAAAAAAGTGTTGCTCCCCACCCTAACTCTGCTCGTTTTTCTTGGATAAAGCGTTGCTCTGAATTGGTCTTCAAAAATTCCCCTGAGAAGCCCTTGTCAAAGAGCGAGGAGTCTGGGATGTCTGGCCACGAAGACACAAGTTTGACAGCTGGAAAATTGGATTCTTCCAATGGATACTGTGGGAAAAAGCCCAAGTCGGTACAATTTTTTGACAAGAGTCAACCTATTAGATATGCTTATGGTGAGCCAAAAGTGATACTTGAAGTGCCTCCTAAAGGAGATATTTCTAAGGAGTCATGCAGTGTTGAATATGATATCGTGGAAGTTGCAAATGAAAGGCTCACATTCCCAATTTCTGATCTAGCACCACAGGCTGAAAGGAAACGACGCGTTGACAATTCATCTTTAGATAATTCTGTTGATTCTCAGCATGGGAAAGGTCAGAGCAATAAGAGGAGGCGGCAAGAGGAAATTGCCAGTGCAATTTTACCTGAAGATACTGTTAATGACAGGTACAACTCTTTGCTCTACTGTCTTCTTGCATATTTGCTAGCTTAACATGTTTGTTGTTATTCAGGCGTCTTTTTTAAAATGATATAATTTATTTATCCATCTGTTTTCAGTGTAACTTCAACCCAGGAAGCTGTTTGTAAGGATCAGCATGCAGCTGAAGAAGCAGATGAAGTACTTACGGACAAAATCATTAAAGTTTCTGAAGTGACTTGTGAAATAACTAGCACAGACACTTTTGCTCATCAAGAAATATCAATGCAGCTTCAAAGTTCTGAAAAGACATCCCACCACAATACTGGTAAAGACAAGGAGGTTTCAGAAGTGTTAAAGGAGTAGTGTGTGGGAGATGTTGGAAATGGCTCCAAGTAAAGTCAGGTAACTTGTAATGCCTTAAATCATCCCTATTACTGTGATCCTGCATGAGAATACACAGCACTAAGTTGCAGTTTTAAATCATTGATCAACTATGTGATTTCTCTTGTGGTCTGATTTTTCTTTTTAGATTGGGCATGATGGTATGTTGATCTAGATTGCTCATAATTGAACCTTTAATGTTTGCATCAATATCAGTTGTATTTTTTATGTTGCTGGTATCATCTGCAAGTTCTTAGATGGTTTACTATGAAATTTTTTTACTGTCACCAACAGTTGCTGCTCATAAATCAACTCCATTTGTGATTTTATAGTTGAAAACTGTGTTTTCTACAGCCTTCTACAACTATGAGAAATATTAGTAGGTTTACTGTCTAGATTAGACCCGGTTTTTTAATGTTCATGATTTGGTAAATATTACTGCATTTTGCGCTTACAACTGTAAACGTTGGAGAATAACTTGATAAGTAAAGCCTGTTTATTTAAAGTCATCAGCGAGTCTCTAGTAACTAGTACCAAGCACCAAACTATAATTAATAGGTCTCTGATTTGTTGATTTTTTATTTTTTCTAATTCTAGTGACTTTGATGATGGAATTCACGTGACATTTTTCAAAAAATAATGAGTATCTGAAATCTTAAATCTATCTTGTTTAAGAATACCATTGACTACATGCTTAATGATCATTCCAGTTATACATATTCAATGAGGTGTTTGAAAATCCTGGCTGATGAACCCTTGAGTTATCTTCTATATTGACAACATTCTTACGATGCAGCACATTTTTGCTGGAAGCTGGCCTTGAAAATTGTTCATAGAAACTGTTGTTTGTTCATAAACATTTGGCTAGAGAATTAAAAACATGTTCTTTGTCTTTATAGCAATGCAGGAGCTGGTAGATTTTGAACTCAATGTCAGAAAAGGGGAGCTTAAGCAGCTAGTCTTTTAGATGTAGACGATGCAGACAACACCCACATTTTCTGGAAAAGGGTTAAAACTTAAAATAGTATTGCCTTGTAGATGTGAATATATGGTGTTTTTAAACATGCTAATATGCTTCCAAGGTCTTGAAAACTTGAGTTTCTGAAATGTTGTGCTTTTTGGTCAATTTCACTGGACTTACCATGACCTATGCTGCCTTGTAAAGTGCATATCTTCATGGGTAGATCAAAGTCTAGATCAAAGTCATCAACTCTGTTTTAGGCTATGCAATTGCTGGAAGTAGCGGATTTGCAGAACGGTGTGGAGCAGGACAATTCAAGGCACGTTAACAGGGATCCGAGCTTGCAGCAAATTTATAGTTAGAGGAATGGTGTGTCAATCATTTGTGTGTATAAACGTTGAAGGGGCGTGCCATTTTATTTTCTGATCGGTGATTAAACAAGAAATTAGGTGTCAATACCATGCTAGTTGATGAACAGTTTTATTTTCCAGGACATTCACCAATGTCTTCGAAAATATCTCCATAGCTCTCTGGTTATGTTTGGAAAGATAAGTCTAAATGTGCTCGACAGATTAATGCAATCCTACTTGCAGAATATGGGATGAGTTGATTCTGTAGCAAGAAAACCAAAATAAGCTCGGGCATCTTATTAAATAAATCGAGGATTGTTTAAAAATAGAGGAATATTTCAATTTTAAATAAAATTGAAGTGGAAATAGGAAACTTTAAATTTCTTATTTACATATAATATTTCATTATTTAGATAATTGAAAAACTAGTTTTTATGGAGTTCAGAAAACATGTGTAGGAGGTTTTCTATAAATTTTTATCATGTGTTTTTTAATTATTTTTCAAATAAAAAACACAATGATAATATATTTTTTTATATACACGTAATTTTTTAATAATGTAAAACATTAATTTGTTTTTTGTATTTTCGTTTACTGTCATGAATTTATTTTTTATCACAAGTCAAATAAAATAAATTAATTTTTTAGTCTACAAGTATAAATACGATCATTTTTAATTTGAATGAAATAGAATTGATATCTTATACTTAGATTATTTCAAATGTAAAATATTAAGACAACTTTCATAGCTATAATCTTTACATAATTTTTTGAATGAAAAAATTATTCCGTGTTCTTCAAAAAAAAAAAAAGAATTTTATAATGGTAATTGTTCGAAGAAAAAGGCTCCACACTTCTAGCCATGTAGCCAAGGCTGAAGAAAAAGGAGAACAAATTCACAATTAACGAGGACAAATTCACAATGTAGTCTTTTTCCGCATATAAGGTTTCAAATTCAGAATTGTTAGGTTTCATAGCAGTTTTGAACTCATACACAGCACCGTTCATTTGGGATGTTTAGAATTTGTTTTTTACTGTGCTTTTTTTTTTTTCCAGAATTTCATTAAAATAATATATTTTTTCATTTTTTAAAATTTATTTTTAATATTAACAATTAAAATATCCAAAAATCTAAAAAAAATAAATTTCAACCAACCTCCTGGGCTTAACAAAATCTAGCTTACGTTGAACTTTTCCAACTCTTTTCTATACTAACAACGGTCGTCAACTTGCTTTCAACCCGATTTTCATAGGCAATTTTTGTTTCACTGCTCGGAGGGAAACTGTCTTAACTATTCCCTAAATGAGCTTCTAGCAGACTTGTACCTGTGCGGAGAGAGATATCCAAAATGGTTTCCCACTTTCCAAAACAACTAGTTTGCTTCTCGTGTACAAATGCTGACAGGTTCAGGGCTCAAAGGGCAAAACCTAAAGAATACCAAGCAGCCAAACAAAAAAAAAGAGCGTTGAAAAACAGAAAGAGCTTGGAACTTACCAGGCATCTTTCATTGGCATCTTTTCGTGCAATGCTCTCCAGGCACTAATCGCTTGACTCAGTAGGCACTTGGAGGTGTACCTATCCCTCAATCCTAAATGTTCTCGGGCCGGACATTCCGAGTGATTTTACCCGACAAACTAGTTAATTTCCACCAGCCTTAAATTGATCCAAATGATTGTTATCGGCAGCAAAAGTGTTGAACATATTCATGTCAAGAAGACCAGAGGACCTCGCTTGTTATCTTCTAGGGATATACATGTTTCTAGATTTCCTCATTACATAATCAAGATTCAAGACAGAATATGTACAGCTATGTTTTGTAGCAAGAAAAGATTAATTAAGATTGAAAACTTGTTGATAAAAATAACTCAAAACACATTAAGCTCGTCGTTTACTCAGCCGCCATGAATTAGGTTCGTGATATCTATCATAGAGAGGTTCAACACGCTCTTGACGCTTTCGCTTGCTCATTTTTGTAGGATCTGCCACTTTAAAGAATCTGGGAGCAAGTTCCACGAGCCATTTGGGATCTACAACAGTGCCCTCACGCATGTACTCCTTTGTAGTCATTACCAGCTCGTGGTATATGACCCAGTCCGGTTGTCTCTGGAAAAGTGCACTGCTGGGGTGGATATAAACTGGCTGGTTCTCAACTAAAGTCCTATAACCCTCCTGCGGGTCCTTTCTAGCCACATGGAAAAAGAATCCAGCTGTAATTGCTTTCCTTATCTTGGTAAAATTCTTCCCAGCACTAACAACATCCAATTTATACCTGAAATCCAACAGCGGTCTGAGTTATAATCATGCATGCAGACAACATGCACTAGTTTAAAAATTGACAGACAATGAACTGGAATAATCATTAGCAACAACTATCTATGAATATCCTAGACAAATGGCATTACATACTGGCAGAGGATTAGTTTTACCACTCAGAGTGCACTCACACAATTCAAGGGATGAGAAAATTCATCATATCTCACAGGTTCCGAAAGTAATAAAATGCGGCATATAAAACATACAAAAATTGCAACCAAATGAACCTTGACTTGGCTTGATTGACTGGCAGTTAGATGTGATTCCCCTGTCATCCCCATAAACAAGTGTAGGCATACTAATTGAATTAGTGACAAATTGAAAAATAAAAATAAAAAAGAAGATAATCCTAGCCTCACCAATTCAAAAACATGGGCAGAATATGTCATATATATCAGGACAAATATGCAATTAGCAGCCTTTTCATTCTAGCATGCTCAGTAACATGCATGTCAGTATCCTATAATTTGCAATAATAAGTATATCACTATAATTCTACAATAGTCGACCACAACCATATTGACCAAGGCCAAATATCATTTTTCTTAATCATGCACAAGGCTCAGAAAATCAACAGTGAGCATAAATAAAGACAACATTGTGAAAGGCTGATAAAATAACATGAAAAAAACAGTAGCTAAAACAATGCAAGTTGCATATTTTACTTGTCCATTATGCTTAGAAGCTGTTTTCTGACATCCTGTGCTCTCCTCAACGATCGAGATTGGACAAAGTTCTCAAAACACCAAGGTCCTGAAAAGTTCTTGGCTTTCCAAGCCTCGTATACAGCAAGCAAAGTCAGATGGTCTCCCTCGGGCTGGAAAAACTTAGCCCTCTTCTGATCAGCCATCGCTTGTTTTTCTCGTGGTCTGTAAAAGATGTTACCAGTAGTGATCATGGAAATAATAGTTAAAATCTCATCGGTGCACCCAAGGTCTACACTGGCCAGCAACATTTTCGACAATGGTGGTTCCAGAGGAAATTCTGCCATTTTCCTCCCTAGTTTGGTCAGAAGTCCTTCCTCATCCAGAGCTCCAAGGCTATATAGCTGTTCCAATGCAGAAATCAGGGCCTGGGGTGAAGGCGGATCCATAAAATCAAAAGACAAAAGGTCATTGATTCCCATGGCCTTCATTGTAAGTGTAGTGAATCCTAGATTAACTCTTTGGATTTCTGGAACCGAGGTGGGAGACATCTCATTGCGGTATGCACTTTCTGTGTAAAGACGATAACATTTTCCAGGCCCAGTACGCCCACCACGTCCAGCTCGTTGCTTGGCAGATGCTTGCGAAATTGGTGTTATAACCAGAGAATCAAGCCCTTGCTTTGGATTATACACATTCTGCTTGGCAAATCCAGGATCAATAACATAAAAAATTCCATCAATTGTTAAAGAAGCTTCAGCAATATTGGTTGCCACAACCACCTTCCTCTTCCCAGGGGGGACAGGTTCAAAAATTCTTGATTGCATTTCACTAGGAAGAGCACTATAAACAGGTAATATGATCAATTCAGGAACATTTTTTCCTAACCCTTTCATCCTCTCATAAAGAGACTGGCATGCAAAATCAATCTCCTCCTGACCTGTCAAGAATAGAAGTACATCACCTTCAGGTTCCGTCAAGTGGATTTGCAAGACAGTAATCAGAGATGCATCTAAGTAGTCACTTTCTGGCTGTTTGGTGTACAATATCTCCACAGGAAATGTTCTCCCAGGAATCGTGAATATGTTACAGTTGAAGAAATACCCTGAAAATTTCTCCGCATCCAGTGTGGCTGATGTGACAATCAAGCGAAGATCAGGTCTTCTCTTCACAAGTTTCTTGAGTAACCCAAAAAGGACATCAGTGTTAATTGTTCTCTCATGAGCTTCATCAAGCATTATCACTGAGTATTGAGAAAGGTTTTCATCAATCAAAATCTCCCTAAGAAGCATACCATCTGTCATATACTTGATCACAGTATCTGGTCCAGTGCAATCCTCAAAACGAATGGCATAGCCAACTTCCTCACCTAAACGACAACCAAACTCTTCAGCCACCCTCTTGGCTACAGACATAGCAGCCACCCTACGAGGCTGAGTACATCCAATCTTACCCCTTGTGGTATAACCTGCCTCAGCAAGATACTGTGTCACCTGGGTAGTCTTGCCTGAACCTGTCTCACCAATAACGACCAAAACCTGATTTTCATGGATAGCCTGAATTAACTCTTTTTTCAATTTGTAAATTGGCAAGCTCTGCCTCTGTTCCTGGATAGACAACTTGGATCGCTGCCCAAATGTCAGTGCTTTCCCAAATGCATCCTTCTTCCATTCAGGCATGTCATAAGCAGATAAGCCAACACCACGCAGCTCCTGGGCAAGATGCCTCTCACCAGTCTCAGGCATTGGGTCTTCCCAAGGTCGATTAAGATCCTTTGGTATCGAATCAAGCATAGTCCTCTGCTGCTGGTCCCTCACTTCTCTCCTCTCCTTTATAAGTGCAGACTGAAGAGCAGCTGCACGACTCAACGAACCTTCAGGATTCTTAAAAATCTTAACTGGTGACATATCAACAGAATACCTAGTCTGTCCTTGCAAAAATGCAGGCTCATCCTCATTCATCTCAATCTCAAGCTCTTCCTCAACTCCCTCTTCTTGATAAAGAAACCCATCTACTTCATCATCATACATGGGGTGCTCTTGCACACTCAAAACTCCTGAGGCAATCAACTGTTTCGCTTCCCACTTCTCTGGAGAGCTCATTCTCTTCAAAGGCCTCCTTGATGGACCAGTATCCTCCTCCTCCTCCACGATCCTAATCCCTGACAACCCCGTCCTAGCCACTGGCCCCTCCTTAGATGACCCCAAAGCATTACTCCTAAAACCATCCTCCTCATCCCGCTTCTTCAAGGGAAGCAAATCCTTCCCACTATCCTGATCAACATCCCTCATCGAAAGACT